TATTACTACAGTGTATTCATTGATTATTTAACATTTATATAGTAGAACTATTACATTATTATTTACTATCTGATCTTTAACTTCGTCTGCACCATATGTAACATTTACATGCATTATCATTACATAGTATAAAACAAAGTCGCTGTCGCTGTCTGTCCGTCCCTATGTATCTTAAATCTTTAAAACTACGCAACGGATTTTGAAGCGTTTTTTTTAAATAGATAGAGTGATTCAAAAGGATGGTTTATATGTATAATACATGTACACCCGTGCGAAGCCGATGCGAGTAGCTAGTACATTATATTTTGCCCAATTTACAGATTTGCTTGTTTATTACAAAAGTAAAAGAGTAAAAGAGTAACAAACATCCGTCCATACTCACAAACTATCTCATTTATAATATTATTAATAAGATTAAGGTTGCTATACCTCGAACAGATGCAATTCTAGTCACTCGCGACTATCCTAAACTTATTACTACTTTGCGATTAGGTCGGTGCCGTAATGCAGACACTGACAGTACGACTGGATCTCCAATTCATAGTCACTCAACGAGTTATGTAAAGAGGTATGCTTGGAATTTCTCTAAGGGATCAAATCCGAAACTAAGTCGACAGATAACAAAATTCACCGATATAGCGCTACGAATTTGCAAGAGGTAGTGGGCTAGTCATATCTGTCGCAAAACCGATGGTAATTGGATTGCATGTGTTATAGAGTGTAGACTGAATTGCGAAACGTAGCGTAGCTCAGCGGTGGAGCGACATACGCAGGGTTGCAGGTAATAAGTTTACGAGGAGGGTTGAAGATGGTACCCAATTGCGTGCCTTGGGAAAGACCAATATCAAAATTTATTGATGATGATGATATGGTTGAAAATAAATTAATGTTTATAAGTCAAATTAAAAAATCATTTATTCATGTCGGACATTTTAGCCGCTTATGAACGTCAAGTTTTTACATTATAATTTTAATTTTTTTCCCTACCATCCAGTTTGGTATATAGATCCAATTGAGAAGAACTGGCAAGAAACTCAATTGAATTACTTTTTTTTAAAAGCCAGTTTATTTACTATGTATATTTATATAGGTGTTTATGTCTAACATTAAAAGAAAATCCTTTGCATGAACAACTATTGCCATGCAAGCTCGTCATTCAAGTAATCGTTTAGTGAGCAATAGGCTTTATATAAATAGGTATCAAGTTATATAACTATATTTCTGCGACAATACATCCCCTTTCGCAGAAAATATGCTCGTTTTCATTTCATTACATCAACAGTTAAGCTTAATTGATATTGAAAGAACGAGCGGTTGTATAAAGCGATTGTTGCGCTTTCGTAATAATGAAATAACTGTCACATAGTATGCAATAAGTCGATGCGGCAAGGTGAATCGGAAAATAAATTTAATTGATATTGAAAGAACGAGCGGTTGTATAAAGCGATTATTGCGCTTTCGTAATAATGAAATAACTGTCACATAGTATGCAATAAGTCGATGCGGCAAGGTGAATCGGAAAATAAATTTAATTGATATTGAAAGAACGAGCGGTTGTATAAAGCGATTGTTGCGCTTTCGTAATAATGAAATAACTGTCACATAGTATGCAATAAGTCGATGCGGCAAGGTGAATCGGAAAATAAATTTAATTCTGCTAGAATCCCCAGCTGAGTTAATTTCCATTTATTGCCAACTTGAATTCTTTAGTGAAGGACAAGGACGGCAATAGACGGCTTGAAGGACTATTAACTAATTAACCGAGCGCAATAGATAAGCTTTCTTTCTTAGTGACGGAGGTAGAGATAAATTCATTATATTTTCATCTACTGGGAGTTATCTCAGCGTGTGATGTCCCTTCATTTCTTGTATGCCTCTATTTTGTTAGCGTAATAGTATTTCATCATTTTGGTATGTTATGTATAGATCTAAATGAGTGGGCGATAAATGGTAAATATGTATTTCGGAACGTCGGTATTTCAGCGGGCTACATACGCTAACCGTTACAAGTTCATATTCGAAATTTGTCAACGATCATATATGCATTATCATACGCAACCATTGTAAACTACTATCAAGTAAATTAAAAAACTAACCTGAAATCTCCGAGTTTAATTACACCATCAAAACCCTCTTCTCATTAAAAGGCGTAAACACTATATAAAGTTCTCGTGTCACAATGTTAGTTAGCATACTCCACCGAAAATGGTCTGACCGATTTTTTATGAAATTTTGTATGCATATTCGGAGAATCGACTACTATCTATGTTTCATACCCCTAAGTGATAAGTGTTGTGCACCCCTTACATTTTTTTTATTATTTTAGAATGTGGCAATAAACTTACATACAAACCTAAATTTTCACTCTTCTGTCAGCAACTTCTTTAGTAGCGATATTAATTTATAAGGCAAAACAACGTTTGCGGTACAGCCAGTATATATATAAAAAAAATTTCGTGTCGCGGTTTTTATTACCAAACTCCTCCAAAACCGTATTACTGACTTTTATGAAATTTTGTGTGCATACCGGCCAGGTATGAGAATAGGCCAACATCAATTTTTTATACCCCTCAATGTTAGGAGTAACCCTAAATATTTTTTCCCAGCCCTAAATATTTTTTTTCGTCCTTTCAATGTGAACTAGAGTTGTAAGGGATTGAAAGGGATGAAAGGTTGTATGGAAGTATATTATTAAAGCTATAAACTTGAAACTTATTTTTCAGGCTGGTGATTCTATTCTATTCTATTCTAAAGTTGTAAAAAATTTACCCTTAAGGGGTAAAATAAAATACGGGATGAAACTTTGTATGGAAATTAAAACATTGCAAATAGCTTATTAAAGTATTTATACGTTTGTGTCTTGTAAAATAATCTATGGTTAGCACGCGGAAGGGTATTTATAATAGGTAGGTATGAACAACATAAATGTATGCGAATAGAGTTATAGTGTAGATGTAGATGAAGTAAATATAAAGTGTGAGCGATAAACAAAACCATTTACCATCAGATTGGCCGTATACCTGTATGCCAGCATGGTAGTATAAAAAAAAAAACCAAGAAATTATCGTCAGAATAGGAATCATCTGCTTCTTCTTTATCCCATTTACTTGTGGTCGGCGTAATATGTTTTTCTCTTCCATTCATCACTGTTCGTAATCTCGTTATTCACTCCCTTTCTTACCATATCTTTCACACAGTCCATCCATCTCTTTTTCGGTCTTCCTCTGCCCTTATAACCATCCACATTCATATGTAACACCTGCCTTAGGTACAGATCTTTATATCTATACCTTAAAGAACCCAATATGCCATTAATTCATATAATATTATAGACTTTCTATACTATATTGACTATATTGATGCAATGAAGAATGCATTACATCAATATTCGTAATTTATGTATGTCTGTTTGTCATCGGAAGCCTTTCGGAATACTTTTTTTTAAGTTGAATTTTTTCTCTTCTTTCGGCTCCGGCGTAAGTTGAATCTTGAAGGAAGGACTCGAAAATTGAAAAAGTTTCGCTACCTATTCGGCATGGTCGCGGTTTTTTACTCTTACAAGTTTAAGTATGGACTTACTCTACGGACGGACGTACGGACTCTTACTTCGAGTTTTTAATGTACAATATAGTTTTACAAATAAACAGATTAGCAACATAAAATACGTCTAAGTCTGTAACTGAAAATGTATAATATTTTGTTTATGTACACGGAATTACAAGCGAGGTGGCGATACCCAAATCAATACAAATAAATATACTCATAAACAAAATTGTATTGCACGGATATCGAACCGGCGATCTTCGAACATTAATTTGTAACTCGAGGCAAATAACAACTATATGGAAATTCTATTCTTATAATGTAATTGAAATATTCATTTAATCTATTTGAAATTGCAAACAAATGAACAGCACTACGGATATCACGTTATCATGTGACAACCGTGATAATCACGCTGACATTTTAGTAGACAAAGATATCATGCTCCTTATAATGTTTTATCATATAACCGAAAAATACGAAGCAAAATGTTAGGCTGCTGAAATAGGAAAGAAAAACCCGGCTAGACGTATACAAACTCTACTTCAGGATAAATGATAAATTCACGATAAATCTGTTATTTTAGTGATTAAGTGCATAGTGATTTCTATGTTGATTGTCGCATGCCTAATACTTGTTAATGTAAATCTACTTAAATCAATATTTATTTAAAAGAACACACAACACACAAGTTTCATGCTTATACTTCTTGTGATGAGTCTGAATTCCGAAGTGGTAGAATAAAAAAAATGTGACTATTCAAAAGTTCTTGTATTAAGTTTGTTTGAATTAAGATTATTTGTTTTACTATTTAAACCTACATACTTTATATTTAATATTTGTACGTTATAAACCTGGAAAAGATTTTAACATTCGACCCTATAACCCATGATATAAAAACGTTTTTTTATTATGCTTGATATAACGCACCGAATAAAATGTACTGTACCGCTACTCTAACGTTCATATAGCGACAGGCCTATTAAACTTGGTCGGTTATACAAATCAAATTCTACTAGAATTCGTGTAAAACAGTTCTTTTAGACTCTCAGATACGTATGTGTTTATAATTGTCGATGATAGATAGATCGATAGAATTTTTGTTTTTTTAGACTCAGATATCTACGTGTATGAAAGTGGATGATTATAAGGGCAGAGGAAGGCCGAAAAAGAGATGGATGAACTGTGTGAAAGATAATATGGTAAGGCTGGAGTAAATAACGAGAGTGCGAAAACGGATGAATGTAGAAAAACATACGCCGATCTCAAATGAATGGGATAAGGTAGAAACAGATGATAACAAATATATACGTGTAGTGTACACAATGCTGCATATAACTACTTGATGGGCAATACTTATCCGTCGCTTCGTTGAATCTTTATTGCCATCTTTTTATTATCGCATGCTTTTATTGAAACTGTCAAGAAATGCCAAACTAATATTAAAGTGTACGTACCTCGGCACGGTGAGAATCCCGTTCAAGTCCAAAAATCACGCATCAGTTTGGCACTTTATATGTTTAGTTAGTAAGTAATAAACGCGAAGTCGCGTTACGTATCGCAGAACGCGGCGGAGTGGTAGTACAGGAGGTAGCACGACAGCTACGCACGACGCGCGGTAAGCTTCTGAGAACTGTCGCCCGCTACGAGCTTTATACCCAGAGCTTGTTCTACTCATGTCTAGTCGGCTATCGCCACGAATTATCAAGTTTATAAGCTATTCACTTGTTTATTTCAGATTAAAGACAGACTAAATAGAAGCACTACCCACATTTAGGAATTAATGATGTAGAAAAGATACATGTAACCGTTTTAGACAGTTCACAGTGACTTGTATTAAGAATTTCTAGCGATATATACTTAGATGAAAATAAGATAGACGTTGTCGTAGAATATTTATGAAGGTTTATGTTTAAACGTGTAAAAATGTAAAAATTATATAAGTAGATAGGTACTAATTATTCCTAGATGAGTTGAATAAGAAATTGTTGAATAATTACAATTTTACGTTTAAATTGTAGAAATTTAAAAACTAAATAAGTAGTTACTTATTATTACACAGGAAGGAATCTATAACAATAATTCTGGAGAGTATAATATACTTAATATACTAAATAATAAGAATTAAGTATATATAAGGAGCACATATTTGACACTAATTTTCTTGCAAGTTAGATCAGTATTATTACTATAGCGAGATTACTAAAAATATTAGTAAACCATAATAGAATAGAATAGAAAATCGTTTATTCAAATAAACTTACATTGAACTATTTTTGAATAGATTCAAAAATTTTTTTTCAATTTACCGCTCATTCGGAAAACTGTCTTATCATAAGAAGAATGAGTGAGAAACTTGTGTGTTGCTCATTTAAATAATTTTATTGTTACTTCAAGTTTTTGTGTATGTTTTTCAAGGTTGATGTGTGAATACAATACAAACTAGAACGAATTCAATTAAATACTCAAATAGAGAAAACATTAATATTAAACATTAACTGAATAAAAGTAAATCACTCGTAGTGACTATAAATAGTTTTTCGTATATGTTAATAATTTCTTTCTTTCTTTCCTAATGGAACGTACTAACAGGAATTATACGAATATATTTCCCAAGAGATATGAGATATGTATATACTAGCGACCCGCCCGGCACTTCACACGGGTGCAATGCTAAATATAACTAAATATATCAGTGTTTCTCTACAATATTATACATGTATTATACATATAAACCTCCCTCTGAATCACTCTATGTAGTCGTGTAGTTTTAAAGATTTAAGCATACATAGGGACATGCAGCGACAGTTTTGTTTTATACTATGTAAAGATGAGATAATCAAAAGTGGCATATAAAAAAGAGGTATCAAAATAATATAAATATTTATAAAAGGAATAGTAGGTAAGCTAGCAATAATTATTATATTTAAAAATATTGCACTTATTGCTTCAGTCCCGTGCTCTACGAAACAATGAGTTGTTGTTATTAAATTACTTTATTATTATTTATATTGAATAATTTGCATTTTATTAGGAATGACTGGAGCAGTCAGAGCAGTTTTAACTTGATGACCTCGGTAGTCTAGCGATCTAGCACATTGCTTTACGTCCGATGATCGCGGGTTCGATTCCTCGCACGGCACAAACATTTGTATTTATGAGTATGATTGTTTGTGTCTGTCTGGGTGTTTTCTATATATAATAATTATGTATTTACAAAATAAATATCTATGTATTTGTATCAGTTGTCTAGTATACATAACACAAGCTTTAGCTAGCTTAACTTGGGTCTAGATGGCGCTGTGTGAATTGTTCTGAGATTATTATTGTTATCTTTAAGTATCTCTCCGCTCCGACATCGCATGGGTATCGTATTATAGATGTAAACCTTCTTCTACAATCACTCATCATCAATCATTTATTTCTAAAACTGCATTAAAATCCGTTAAGTAGATTGAAAGATCTAAGCGAACAGAAAGCGGAAGCGACATTATTTTATACTACGTAAAGATATATATAATTAAAAATACACATAACAAAAATATATATAACTACCTTTTGGCCGCGGCTTCGCTCGCGTTAAATTATCCCCTTACGGGTGGAATTTATCAAAATCCTTTCTTAGGGAATGCCTACGTCATAGTAGCTTTATACATGCAAAGTCTCAGCCCGATTGGTTTAAAATTGACAAAGTTTCATACAAACTTTAGTCCCCTATTTTATCCCCTTGGGGGTAGAATTAATCAGAATTCATTCTTAACGGATGCCTACGTCATAACATCTACCTGCATGCCAAATTTCAGCCCGATCCGTCCAATGGTTTGGGCTGTGCGTTGATAGATCACTATGTCAGTCACCTTCATTCAGATGATCAGGATGGTATTTCAGTTTCTGTAATAATCCGAACAATTCCTGAGACACTCCCCGTGATATATGCGGTAGAAAATGCACAGAGGCGTTGATTACCAATGATTCTGGCTGCTCGGTTCTGAATGCGGTCAAATGGAAGTAGCTGGTATTGTGGTTCTCCCGCCCAGAGATGAGAACAGTATTCCATATGCGGCCTTGTATAATTGCAAGCGATGGGCCGCCGTGAAATACCGTCTCACTCTACTGAGCACACCAAGCTTTTTTGAGGCTATTTTAGCCTTGTCCTCCAAATGACCGCAAAACTGAACGTCACTGGATATATCAACGCCAAGGATCTCGAGATTTGGCGTCACATCAAGGAGAGTGTCTTGAAACGATAAATGGAATCTTTAGCGGTAAACGCGCAAACTTGTGTCTTCTTGGGGTTATATAAGATAAACGTGAATAAAAAACAATGCATTAAATTAGAGATGAAATCATTATATACAGAAAAATAAATAAATAAAAGAACAAAATAGTAACAAACAAATAAATAATAATAATAATAAACCAATAATAATAATAATAAAGTAAAATCATTTCCTATCCACCACTGCATCGTCACTGTCATTGTATTTAGTAAGTATACATCTACGTGTGTTGAACGTAGCTTGTCTACGAGGTGCTACGAAACGCATTACCTGTAGTGTATTTGCGAGTACTAGTCTCTTCATTTGATTTAATTTATTAAAAAGGTTTAGGGTGTTTTAATGAGCGGCGTTATCGTATCTAGTTATAGATATACAATTTGGCCCATTTAACCTCTTATTATCTCATTGCACTATTATATTTTATGATTCAGACTATCTATTAGTTCATGTTGTCCTGGCAATTTGACTGTAATATCGTAGTACATTTCCTACTACACAATACGTTTACCTGCATGATGGTAAGTGGTAACCGTCGTCATTCCAGAGGACTAAGGTCATGCCTCTTATCCTGTAATTGCACTATTATAATTTATGATTCAGACTATCTATTAGTTCATGTTGTCCTGGTAATTTGACTGTAATATCGTAGTACATTTCCTACTACACAATACGTTTACCTGCATGATGGTAAGTGGTAAACGTCGTCATTCCAGAGGACTAAGGTCATGCCTCTTATCCTGTAATTGCACTATTATATTTTATGATTCAGACTATCTATTAGTTCATGTTGTCCTGGTAATTTGACTGTAATATCGTAGTACATTTCCTACTACACAATACGTTTACCTGCATGATGGTAAGTGGTAACCGTCGTCATTCCAGAGGACTAAGGTCATGCCTCTTATCCTGTAATTGCATTATTATATTTCATGATTCAGACTATCTAGTAGTTCATGTTGTCCTGGTACTTTGACTGTAACATCACAGTATATGTCTATTTTTAATACTTGATGACTGGGGCGAAAGGGAATGTTAGTAATGTCTCATAACCTTATTGCTAGCAATATACGTCAGGTTAACCTTCAGACGGTTCCCCCTGGAAACCATCACGATGAATTCCTGGTAAATTTATCACGATTTTTTTTTTCTCAGGACTATTCACACAACGCCATCTAGACCCCAGTTTTGCTAGCTAAAACTTGTGTTTTGGGTACTAGACAACTGATGTAAATACATGGATGCATTTTTTTTGTTGTGAATTAATACATATTATGCATAGAAAACATCCAGACTGATACCAACAATCATACTCATCATTACAAATACTTGTACCGTGCGAGGAATCGAACCCGCGACCATGGGATAGTAAAGCGGTATGTTAAACCACTAGACCACTAAGGTTGTCACACTGAGGGTGTCATGATGGGCTAACGAACCTGACTTCATTCTCATGTTATCATCCTCCACTGGTGCACCATGCCATTATCATCCATAGAAAAAAACTTGTCGATTGTAATGTATGCAGTGCACACTTAAAATAATTGAGATCTAGGCCAATAGTATTGAAATTGATTGCTTTTTTAATTCAATACCATTGCTATTTCTGCCTTGCTTCCAGGTCTAGAATAATTAGATTTATTGAGAGACGGAAAATGAACAAATCAAGCTGTTCACATTGCTTTGCAGACTTAGCCTTATTTCTTGATCTCTGTATTACATTAATTTGTAGCGAGTTGTGTTGACGTAAATTGTTAGTTAGTTCTTATAAATGGTACATTTTTTCATTTCATTTCATTTATTCATAACAATTTACATTGTGTTGAATTTTATTACAATTTCAATTAATTAATTATATGTCTATAAGGTGGACCCACGATCTGGTCAAGATCGCGGGAAGGCATTGGATGCGAGCAGCGCAGGACCGATCGTCGTGGAGATCTTTGGGGGAGGCCTATGTCCAGCAGTGGACGTCTTCCGGGCTGCGATGATGATGATGAATTATATGTCTAAAATAATTTTTTTTTTCTTTGCGATATCATATGCTGGTGGTCACTCTATTCTTCCAATTTTGAATTTTAATGACTGTCTATTATTATTAACATGTTCCACTATTATTTAAAAAAAATACGAGCTGAGTTTCTTGTCAGTTCTTCTCTTCTCGATATCATTCCGCAGTAACGGTAGATTTGACAGATCATAAGAGTCTGTGACGAATTTACTATTATCGTGCGGCAACACCGTTGCCTAGCTACGACAGAGCAATAAAATAACAGACCTGTCATTCGAGACCGAATCACTTTCTTGTACATACATATA